ATTATAATGAAGGCGTTTCTTGAGCACTAACTGTTCATTGAATATTCGGTGTGACGTATCAGCAAACTTCCCCGTAGGCGCTGAAAATAATTTATAATTACTTACCACAATAGTTTTTTTCCAACCCCTTTTATCTATCCGCTCAATACACAGCGGTGAAAGGTGTCTTATTAACAACCAAAAAAACCCCATGGTGCCATTTACATCTTTCCTGAGTTTAAAACTTTCTATAAAGCTTGCCAGATTAAAAAGATAAGCTTAGTTAATAATTCGACTGATAATGAGTACCTCTGGTCATTCTTTCCAATCTACCGCTTTTCACTGTCCACCGTAGGATGCATACTACTGACACTGCTACAGCCAAGAAAATTACACTCGTACTAATTACATACGAAATGAGAGAAATATTATGAACTTTACTGTGAATCATTCCAAAAAGTGAAGTCGCATTATCAATTTTCGGTGATGTTATACGATATTTGACTGAAAGCCTTTGTATAACAAAGATTTTATACTTCAGAATAATCAATGAAATATTATTAAAAGACAGCTTCAAATGCACATTCAGAAAGCTAGATAATTAGTGAAGTTTTAAAACACATGTACCGTGAGTACGAGCATAAACTGGCTGACTTCGTGGACTTCTTCCAGCTGCGTTTTCCGCTAAAACGCAAACTCTGTATTCCGTTGACGGTTCCAAATTATTAATAACAACATGAGTTTTATCCCCATCGACTTCAACCTCAAAAATTGTGTCAAAAAATAACACCATAATTTTTTGTGTTGTTTATTAGCAAATTAATGAAGGAAAACGCTTAGCTGCGAAGAAATTTATTTAAAAAAAATTTTTCAAAAAAGATTCAACGTACGGTACTAGTCTGAGATGAGGAAGATTTTCCATATGTAACGAGAAACTTTTGAGGAGTGTTATTACTTGATGTAACAACTGTTTTCCAACGTAATTTCAACGCAGAATCTGAAACTGCACTTAATTTCTCAATCTGCGGCTCTGGAGGTAACATAATGCCATCTTCAGTCTGTTCAATGAGGACCCAGTCAGTCGGGAAACTGTTAACACTTGGCTGCCCAGACAATACAGCAACGACCCGGAATTTATACCTTAAATAATTACCACTGAGCAAAAGTTTTACATGCAACAAAGACCAATCGAACCATTATCATTTTTACAAAAAAAAAAAAAACATGGCAACTTTACAACATAATATAATTTTTGACTCATAGCTAGAACAACAAATCACACCTCCTTGAAATATAAACACCTACTATGATAACACCGGTAACGCTTACTTCCAACCTGGCGTTAAGCCTCCTATAGTTGTTCCTTTTACATATGACCTTAACTCTTCGGCTTCCGCCCACTCACGCAGAAATTCAGTACATAATTCAACTTTGAAAGCAGTTATGTTTTCAGACGCCGGATGGTGTTCTGGATAAGACCAGTTTAATCGAACACTACGGCCTGTTACAGATGCCCTCGGTACGTCCAGTGTAAACGGGATTGCACTAATGTTCTGTAATTAGAAAAGCAGAAAATAGAATTGCTAGAACTTCTGATCCACGTACTATCAAGCAAAAGCGAAGAACACTAGAAAAAAAT